AGACCAAGAAGATTTGTTAGAATTTCGTAACCAAATCCCTTCCCCCTTACCCCCCCCCCCCTCTTAAATCTCGGGACGAGATTTCTTATAGTGGAGGAGAATTGTGACGTCCGGATAATTAAGCTACAATAATCCCACGTGAACGATGCCACGTCACCTCGGTTATTGTTGCTAATCTCGCATTAGTTCGAAACCGATTCAAATTCAAAATTTAAAATCAAGCAAACAATAAAAGTTTTCAAATATTAAAACTAAAATGTTCAATAAATAATAGATAAATCAGAGGCTATAAAAAAATTGTAAAAAACATTATTGAAAGTTGATAAGTGACTTAAACAACCTCAAAGAGTGGCTGAAAACATTAATTAATAACTTTTTAATTAATCTAAATCTAATATGAAATAGTATTTCACCCAAACTAGTTTTTGGTGCTTGGATCTAATGCACTGCAATTTATGAGCTAGCTCCCATATTTAAAAAAATCAATCAATTAGGTGTTAAACATTTTTGAAAACAGAAAAGGGAAATAAACATAAAAAAAGAGAAACAACCCTCCCGGCCAACTCGGCCAACCGGCCCAGTCGGCCTCTCCACAGGCCGGCCCACCCCTCCACCTACTTACCCGTCTCACCAGGAACCCTAGCCCACTACCCCTGCCGCACCCACTACCCCACGATCTCCACCCTCTCCCTCCAGCGCCGTCATAGGAGAGGGCGCTCGACCCCACGATCCCCTCTCTCTCTCACATGACCCCCTCCCCCGCTCGATCTGGATGACTGCCCGCGCCCAGGGTGCCCGTCCCCATCGCCGTCGCTGCCTCACCTCATCCCCGACGCCCATCCGCGCGCCGCCTCGTCCCCTTCGCCCCTGATCTAGAACCGGTGCTCGGCCTCGATGCCGCCGCCGCTCGGAGCCCCCCTCCCCCACGCCGAAACCATGACGCCGTCGGACCGCCTCCTCGACCCCGCCCGGCCGGTCGTCGTCGAGCCTCGCCGCCCCGTACGCCTTCAACGGGGGTGAGGACCCCTTTTCCTCTCTTCCCTGCCCCCGGACGTCACCGCACCCCGCTCCGTGCCCGACCACGCCTCGCCCTCGCCGCGTGCCCGCGCTCCCTGCCGCCACGGTCACCGGTCGTCTGCGGGCTCCCCTGCTTCGGCTCCACAACCGCACCACCCTCCGTTGTCGCGCTCGCCGGAAGCCCCTTTTCGCGTCGCGCCCCGCCTCCGGCGCTGAGCCGCACCTTGGTCGCCCCGCTCCGTCGTCGTCGCATAACCCCGCGACCCTCTATGCTCTCCCCATTCGTCAGTCGCGCTGCTCGGCTGCACCCGTTGCCGTTGCTTGTCGGCTTCGCCGTGTTCCCCCACTACCGCTCGCCTGCGCACGTCGACGCCCCTGTAGGCTGGCCGCATCGCGCCCGGTTCTCTGCCGTGGTTGTGTGCGTGTCCGACATCTTCAATGCCCTGCTGGTGCCAATGACAGATGGGGCCCGCCCTGGGTTAAACGAAATGGAGTACGAAACTAAATATTAATTAATGAAGTAAATAATTAACTTAATTAATTTGGTTTAACTACACATAATCATCCTAATATCCTAATTAGTCTATTTAATCTGTTCGGTTGGTAAAACAGTGAATGACAGGGGGGGGTCCACACTCTATTGACCAGTCAAAGATTGACTAGTCAACTGGGACCCCCTGGACCCACATGTCAGCCCCTCTGGTACACTCCTATGTACCCAGAGCTGGGTGCACCTAGTATTTCACTTTTATTTTCGAATTAAATTAAATTCAGAAAATGATAAAATCTTTTAAAATTAATATAAAATAAACCGTAGCTCGGATGGAAAAACTTTGTACACGGAAGATGCCCAGAACAACGAGACGGATCCGGATACGGAGCCCGTTCGTCCGCCACGCATCCCTAGCATAGCAAACACGCAACTTTCCCCCTTCGATTCGTCTGTCCGAAAACGCGAAACACAAGGGATATTTTCTCGGATGTTTCCCCCCTTCGCCGGTATCACCTCATACCGTGTTAGGGCATCCCTAGCACCGCTACTTGTCATGACATGCATCACTATGCATCTGTTTGCAATATACTCATTGTTTATTCCCCCTCTTCTCTCCGATAGACTACAAGACTGACGCCGCTGCTGGTGCCCCGATCGACTACGCTGTTGACAACCCTTCCTTCTTGCCAGAGCAACCAGGCAAGCCGCCCCCCTTGATCACCAGATATCGCCTATTCTTCTCTCTACTTCTTGCATTAGAGTAGTGTACCATGTTACTGCTTTCCATTAATCCTATTCTGATGCATAGCCTGTCCTTGCTACTACCGTTGTTACCTTACCTGCAATCCTAAATGCTTAGTATAGGATGCTAGTTTATCATCAGTGGCCCTACATTCTTGTCTATCTGCCATGCTATACTATCGAGCCGTGATCACGTCGTGTGTTGATCCCGGGTATATACTATACATACATACTATACATGTTATGACTAAAGTCGGGTCGGCTCGTTGAGTACCCGCAAGTGATTCTGATGTTGGGGACTGGAGGGGCAGGTGGTTCCACCCAGGTAGTGGTAGGCCTAGGTTCCCGACGACCCTCGACTGTTACTTTAAGGCGGAGCGACAGGGCAGGCGGAGACCACCTAGGTGAGAGGTGGGCCTGGCCCTGGTCGGCGTTCGCGGTTACTTCAAAATGACACGCTTAACGAGATCTGGGTATTTGATCTGCGTCTGGCTACTGGCCTATACGCACTAACCAACTACGCGGGGACAGTTATGGGCACTCGACGTCGTGGTATCAGTCGAAGCCTTCGTGACGTCAGCGACTGAGCGGCGCGCGCCGGGTTGGACTGAAACACCTGCTCTTGTATAAGGGAGGCTAGGTCTGCTCACCAGCCGCGTACGCAACGTGCAGGTGTGCAATGGGCGATGGGCCCAGACCCCTGCGCCATAGGATTTAGACCGGCGTGCTGACCTCTCTGTTGTGCCTAGGTGGGGCTGCGACGTGTTGATCTTCCGAGGCCGGGCATGACCCAGAAAAGTGTGTCCGGACAAAGGGGATCGAGCGTGTTGGGAAATGTGGTGCACCCCTGCAGGGAAGTTAATCTATTCGAATAGCCGTGATCTTCGGTAACAGGACGACTTGGAGTTGTACCTTGACCTTATGACAACTAGAACCGGATACTTAATAAAACACACCCTTCCTAGTGCCAGATACAACCCGGTGATCGCTCTCTAACAGGGCGACGAGGAGAGGATCATCGGTTAGGATTATGCTATGCGATGTTACTTGGTGAACTTACCATCTACTCTTTTCTTCTGCCGCAAGATGGAGGTTACCAGAAGCGTAGTCTTCGACAGGACTAGCTATCCCCCTCTTATTCCGGCATTCTGCAGTTCAGTCCACATATGTTACCCCTTTTCTATTTGATACCAATGCATACATATGTAGTGTAGTTCCTTGCTTGCGAGTACTTTGGATGAGTACGCACAATTGCTTTGCTCCCCCTTTTCCCCTTTTCTATATCCGATTGCTGCGACCAGACGTTGGAGTCCAGGAGCAGGACGCCACCGTTGACGACGACTCCTTCTACACTGGAGGTGCCTACTACTACGTGCAGGCCGCTGACGACGACCAGGAGTAGTTTAGGAGGATCCCAGGCAGGAGGCCTGCGCCTCTTTCGATTTGTATCCCAATTTGTGCTAGCCTTCTTAAGGTATACTTGTTTAACTTATGTCTGTACTTAGATATTGTTGCTTCCGCCGACTCTTCTATGATCGAGCTCTTGTATTTGAGCCCTCGAGGCCACTGGCTTGTAATATGATGCTTGTATGACTTATTTTATTTGTAGAGTTGTGTTATGATATCTTCCCGTGAGTCCCTGATCTTGATCGTACACGTTTGCGTGTATGATTAGTGTACAATTGAATCGAGGGTGTCACACCGTCGTTCATGTAGACGGCAGATGGAGGACGTGGTCGCCGATGTGGAATACAACGGAAGTGGACGCCGGCCGCCGGTGTAGGATAGGTTTATGGTTGGAACATTTTTTTGGTTCTAAATATTTGAAATGTAATCAAAACCGTCATGTTAGCATGAATCTCATTTGGTTTGTATGAAAATTTGTCGTGTTTGCATTAATTTTCTTCGGTTAGTTAAAAAATGTTTTAAAATGTATGCGGGCAGCGTTGGATGGCCGCTTTGGGTATCGGCGTCCGCTAACTGCCCCATGTCCGCATATAGATGCTGAAGCAAATTTGCGGGTCATCCTTAGAGATGCCCTGAGCGCTCTGCTTTTTTAGGTGACTAAGCGATCTGCTTTCCTCTAAAAGAAAATACTAATCGCTTTCCTAAGTGAAACAAGAACCAATGTGATTTTTTTAATATAAAAACACCGAACTGATTAGCAAAAATGTTAGCACGGCAGGAGAAGGGTAAAATACATGTACTGTGACGAACGAGAATTGCAGCATCGTACTGCAATCGTGCGACTAACCATGTACTTAGGGACACGCAAAAGGATAAGAAAGAATCTTAAAAAAAGGATACAAGAAAAAAACTCAGAGAACATGGTCTTTCTTGCAAAGATCTTATTATTGAGAAGATAAATGAACCCCAACTATCAGTCACCAATGTACCGAGAATCACAACATCAGTGAAGAGATTACTACAAAATTCAGCTGTGTGGAACACAATGTCAGTGTCACTGCACAGGTGCCCTACGAAACGAATTAAAATATGCCAGCAATAATAATGAAATTAAAAGGACGTGGTCTTTCTAAATCAATCGTGATTGCCTACACCTAATCCACCGATCAGTTATAGACAGGCGTCGTCAGGGGTCAGCAATACACGCGACGACGACAAGCGGCGGCGCGCGCATGCATGCACCGGCGGCGTTCTCAAAAAAGGACGCCCACGCCGTGCACGGGCGCGCGCTCTCCGATGCGCGCGCGCGGCAGCCACGACCGGCGACTCCGCGCGCACCTGGCTACTTCTTCTCCGCGGCCAGCGACTCCGTGAACCGGGTGAGGTCCCTGTTCACCAGCGCGTTCGACCTGACGGCGGCGTCCTTGGCAATGGTGTCCACCAGCGCCCTCGGCACCAGGCACTTGCCCTCGGCGGCCAGCCGCTCCTGCATGCCGCCGCACACGAGCAGCGCGTGCATGTGCTCCTGCGCCATGGCCGGCACCTTCTCGTCCTGGAAAAATCGACGAGATCTTTTAACACGATTGGTACTGCATTGAACGAGAGGAATTGATCAAGGGTTCAAGGTACGTGCGTAATGCCGTGGCTGTGTTAATTACCTCGATGCTGTTCAGGAGGGTGAGCATGCCGACCTGGGCCTGGAGGAGCTTCACGTGGCGCGCGGCCTCCTGCAGCATCTCGGCGGTGTTGAGCTTGTGGCCGCCGGGGATGAGGCGCGACAGCTCCGCCGTCTTCTCGCTGATCCGCCTCCGGCGCTCCCTCGCCGCGGCGCTCTGCGAGGACCCGTTGCCCGCGGCCTGCAGCTTCTTGGCGTCCGCTCCGCGCACGAACGGCGGGTACACCTGCGGCGGCGGAGGCGGGGGCGGGGGCGGGGGCAGTGGCAGCACGAACTCGGGGAGGAACTCCGGCACCTGCTGCGTGCAGGCATTGTCCCACTTCTGGCCGATGCTTCCGTCCGCCGCAGTGAAGTCGAACCACGAGTCCTCCTCCAAGCCCGCCGCGCGCGGCTTCTTGGCGCAGCGCTGCCGGCCGTCCTCGTCGTCGTCGTCGCCGTCGCCGTAGGGCGGGATATTGAGGAACTCGTCGAGGCCGGCGTTGACGGCGGGGTCGAGCGGGTCGTAGACGAAGCCGAGGAGCGCGTCGCCGACGTCGGGGTGGACGTCCTGCAGGAAGCTGACGTCCCGGTCGGCGCCGTCATCGAAGCAGCGGAACAGCGGGCGCGCGGTGGCTGTCGGGCGGAAGCTGAGCGGGGCCATGGACATCGGGGCGTGGTTGCTTGCTGCTATCTTTGCTAATGCTGCGCGCTGCAGAGCTCAACCGCCTTGGGACGGGGTCAAGGGGGTGGAGGAGGAGGTGGAGGTGGAGGCGAAGGCGGAGGCGGCGGCTCAACTCGAGTTTGCTGGGGTGGGTCTTAACACAGAGGCAAGCGCAGTGATTAGTGGTGGTCTTAACGATTGCTTCGCGCGGTAACCGCCCCTCGAAAGCCGGGGACGCCGGGGCGGCGCCACCCACTCGCTCCTCATTAACCGCCATGCCATTCTCTCCCGCGGTTATGGCTTTTTCATCTCATCCCTCCCATTTTTGCAAATTCCGCACAGTACTGAGCGCCCCTATTTAACAAAAGAATTTTGTTTAGATGCTCAGGCATTGCATTTACAATTGCCAACATTATTACTGATTGATGCAATAATTAATAATTAATTCTCGCTAATGCACGCAGGCATTGCATGCTAGTAGTATATTGCTCAATAATGGGGTCTGAACTCTGAATGTATATCGAAAAAACTCTGAATGTATATCGAGAATAAGGCGCAGGGAATTACAGTCCGTATTCTATATTTAGGCGAGATGCCACACACTTTTGTTGGGTGCAAAAATGTGTACGTGTCGGCACCTTTCCTGTAAAATGGAGGACTGGATTGCAAAGAAGAAGAGAATAGAGGAGCCAATCAGGCCGGTTACCGCGTAATATGCCACGTCGTTCTGTGGCTAAACGAAGCTATTTCCCCTCCACTTTTCCTCTTGTATGTTCCAGTAATTGTTGTCTTGGATTCTCTTAAGCGGTTAAAACGTCCTACTAAATCGTAGTTCCTGCGGGTCCCACCTCCCCATCATTCTCTGTAACCGCCCCTCTTTCTCTCTCTTTCTGCGACGTGGCCACCCTGACGGAAGGGGCTGAGAGCACGGGTGCCGCAACGTGATCCAAAACCAACTCCTGGTTCTTTTTTTCTTTTCTTTTCTTGAGCAATGGTTCCCTTTTTCATGTGAACAATAATCCTGGTGTTTTTTTTAAATCTCACAAAGCTTTATTACTGCGTGACAATGTTGGTAGGGACGAATACAAGATCTCCGAGCTGACCTAACCAAACATGGCTGCCAAACCCTAATGATAAAGCGTACTTTGCGAGATTATGGGCCTTCTCATTCGAGGTCCTATACTCATGACTAAAGATACAAAAAGAAAAATTACTACATCTAGCTTTAGTCTCTTGTATTATGGCACCAAAGTTTGCATCACTCCCCTTCTTGATCGCATCGATGGCCACCTTGCAGTCGGACGCGATGGACATCTTGTTTATATAGAGATCTTCGGCAAGGGCAAGAGCTTCTCGGATTGCTAAGGTTTCCAGGATCTGGGGATCAAAAATGTTGCTGAAGACAAGTGTCGATGCCCCCAAGAAACCCCCTGCTTCATCTCTACATAGAGCTCCAATAGCGCCAAACCTCCCTATCCTC